TAGGTATTCTCAAATAAGCAATCCTCCTCAACTGGGAGTCCTGAAACCAATTCCCCGTGGACACTGAGAGATGGCTGTAGTTTGTTACAACACCCCTAGGAAACTAATATAGGGGTCAAAACTGAGCACACAAATTCAATACGTAATAGGGAGAGGCAATTGGCCACAGTACAGAACACAACCTGCCTGGCTTGTGTATCTCAGAGGCTGAGCAGCTAAAGGTTGGTTGTGACTGACAACATTGTATATTCATGTGTATATAATATGCATTGGCTCAGAAAATCACAGTTAACTTTCCTTTCTGTGGTCTCTGGTATTTAGTAACTAGAAGGGCTAGTACAAAATAAATCAAATCCTGACCACAGGAAAAAAAATAATTCAGATCTACTAGTTTAATTTAAATAAAAGCAACTTATTAGTAGATCTGTATTCAGCAAGATTTTACAGTTCAACCAGTAAATGAAGGATACTCTTTCCAAGGGGCATTTTACTAATGCCTCATGACTACTACAGATTTCACATGGAGTAAAGAACAAGATTGCTCTAGTACTGGACTTATTAAATAAAGACCAACAGCAGTCCAGCACTTGCTTGGTGAATTTGCTAAGATTCATGTTTATGCAGCCACTATTGAATCCTATCTGTTTCCTTTATCGCATCAAGCACAGGACCTTGTGTAATTATGGTGGTGATTCACTTGCATAAATGAATGAATAATTGAATGAATGAATGCATGAATGGATATTTAAAAGAAAATGGCTGTAACCTCAGTAAAATCCCTTATGAAATAGCCAGGTACCATCAAATATAATATTTTCTTGTCTCCCTTTCATTCGATTTTAACCTTCCTAGGGGAATTTTTCCATTTTAAGGTAACTAGGCAACCAAATCACTTAGTACAGGCATTGTATACTATGGATACTCAATAAATCCCTTTTGATTAATGAGCAATTTACAAAAACACCAGCAAAGACTGCTTCTGATCATGCTGAAAGAGAATAGATGATCTCTGATTTTTTTTTTAAAAAAAGGACACATTCAGTAGCTCCATGCCAAGACTTAGTGTGGATCTTAGTTACTACCTCTGTTCAATTTGCTAATGTGCTTACTGGTCAACCTGAAATGAAAATGCCATCTGGTGAATAATCCACACTCTACTTCACCTCTGCAACATCTGAAATAGGTAGGAGTGTGAGGGTGATTCTGTAATTTGTTTATACCTAAATATTTTTTGAAATGGTAAAACTTCCTTAATTCTAATGCCAAAATTTTGAAATTAAACGAATTCAGACTGGACTAGAACAAATGTTTATCTCTGCTGAGCATGTGGGTAGTGTCAACATGATTTCTATGTGTATATTTAACTCATTTAAGAGAGCAAACTATTTTTGAGCCCCATGGAAGCATTCTTTTACATACAAATACTGGCCTTGCTGATAAGAACCATTTTTATCAAACAGTAATTATTTATTTGGCATTTGCTCTGTGCTCAGTGCTGTCTTAGCCATTTATTAAAGCATATATCTACATGATGAATTTGTAAACCAGTGCTAGTTCACGGATGGGCAAAGAGAGGAAACAAGGGAGGCAGTATCTGAAGGGAAATCCTAGTAAATTACCTGCCTCCTTCATCCATATGGACAGTTCACCAATTAAAAAGTATAATCATCTCATATTGCTCAACTTGGTAGAATTGTGTTGTAGCTGGAAAAAACTTTATAAACTACACACATATACACACGCACACACTTTTTCTCCCCTATAATCAATTTTATTTGCAATGTGTGTGAATAACATGAAATGTAGACTAATAAAATTTCTAAAAATACAAAAATCTCCTGCTAAGTTGATGATTTGATGATGTGGGAATATAGGCTCCTTATGGTGTCATGTATGCTATCCTAGGCAACAGAATTTCTCCTATAATGTCAGTGTATGTATAATAACCAGGTAAACATTCATTGATTAATAAGTTCATGCTCATCAATATCCAGTGGACTTTCCACCATGCTTCACATTCCACTCTTGTTCTGTGTTGCTTTCTTCAGCCCTCAGATACTTTCCCTCCCTTGTCTCTCACTCTCAGCAGATGGTCTCATATTTTAATTCATAAAGAAAATTGAAGTTGTCAGATGGAACTTTGGTAACTTCCTCCATTAAATGTTTAAATATGACTGCCCTGTGGCATTCCTCTTGCTCCTCCCTCCTGTTAAGATAGAGGGGATTTTCCTCCTCCTGCCCAAGGTTGGCTCTGTTTTCTATGCACCAGGTTTTTGCCTTCTCAGGAATATGACCCCTGCTTTCAGACTTTCTCTCCTCTATATTTTTAATTTTCCTTTTTTACTGCATGATGTACAACAACATTTAAATCTGCTCCAGTCTTTATCATTTGAAAAACCATAACAAACAAGAATAACTAACAGCAAAAACAACTAAACAACAAATAAAAAGTTCCTTGAGCCTACATGATAACTCAGCTACTATTATCTCTTTATTCCCATGCTCTCAATATGTTCATTTCCCTTCTTTGTTTTCACTTCTGAGCCCACCTTAGTCAGGTGTCTATTCCCTACAACTCTGTGGAAATGTGCTTTCTAAAGTCACCAATGACCTTGATGTCACAAAAGCCAAAAGGGCATTTCTTGATCCTCACTTTGTTTTAACCTCTCAGAAGCATAGGTTGGCGACACCTCTGTCTGAGGACCCTTTCTTCCCTTTGCTCTCTAAGGCAGATTTTTATCTTTTTACGGTGCTCCTTCTCTATATTGACAGCTGACATTTTACTGCATGACTCTAAAAGTTGAGAGTTCCTCAAGGCTTATAAAAAGTTCTCTTTATTCTTTTTACTTTTTTCTCTCTATAAATTATCTCATTTATAGTATGGCTTCTGTGACAATCAACATGCTGAAGATGCCCAAATACTTATCCTCCAGTCTAGACCACTTCTCTAACTCCATGCCCAACTATTCATCCACTGTCTACTTAATATCTTCACTTGTATATCTCAAAAGGCACCTCAACCTTAACATATCTAGAACTAAACTCTCACATCTTTCCCTCCAAACTTTTACTTTAGGCTGAATTTCTCATCTCAGTAAATGACTTAATCATTTGTTCAGCTGCAGGAACCTGAGAGTCATTCTTGCCACTTCCCTCTCTGTCAGTCCTCATATTCAAATAAGTCAGGTCTTGTGACTTATAACTGGAACAAATAGTAGGGTGAGGGTAATTAGGTAACTTTCTCTCCCTATCTCTCAAATCCATCCGCTTCTCTTAATCTCTGTCACCACCAGTAACTGTTCTGGACTATTATAATAGTCTCCTAAAGTCCTGTTTCCCTTTTAGCACTGCCTTAGCTGTGTCCCAGAGGTTCTGTAGGTTGTATCTTCTTTGTAGCAATGTGAATTTATTATTCACATTGCAGTCAAAGTAATCTTAAAATCATAAATCAGATTGCATCACTCTACTTAGACTCCTGCAATAACCTTGCATCTATTAATGATGCAGATTTTTAACCACTATTTTTGCTTATACTCTGTAATATTTAAATTTAGATTATCCTGGCTGGTTTGCAGTTGAAACCTTGACAAGAGTTGTTTTCAGTGCTCCCAAAAAAGGCAATATTGTCTGCAAACAGGAATAGTGTGACTTCCTCTCTTTCTGTTTGGATGCCCTTTATTTCTTTCTCTTGCTTGATTACTCTGGCCAGGACTTCCAATATTATGTGAAATAGGAGTGGTGAGAGAAGGCATCCTCATCTTGTGCCAGTTTTCAAAAGGAATGCTTCCAGCTTTTGCCCATTCAGTATGATATTGGCTGTGGGTTTGTCATATATGGCTCTTATTATTTTGAGGTCTGTGCCTTCAATACCTAATTTATTGAGAGTTTTTAACATGAACTGATGTCGAATTTTATTGAAAGCCTTTTCTGCATATATTGAGATAATCATGTGTTTTTTGTCTTTAGTTCTGTTTATGTGATGAATCACTTTTATTGATTTGTGTATGTTGAACCTATCTTGCATCCCAGGGATGAAGCTTACTTGATTGTGGTGGATTAGCTTTTTGATGTGTTACTGGATTCAGTTTGCAAGTATTTTGTTGTGGATTTTTGCATCAGTGTTAATCAAGGATATTGGCCTGAGGTTTCCTGTTTTTATGGTGTTTCTGGCAGGCTTTAGTATCAGGATGATTCTGGGAAGGAGTCCCTTCTCAATTTTTTGAAATAGTTTCAGTAGGAATGGTACCAACTCTTCTTTGTATATCTGATAGAATTTGGCAGTGAATCAGTCTAGTCCTGGGATTTTTTTTTTTTTTTTTGGCTGTTAGGCTATTTATTACTAATTCAATTTTGGAGCTTATAATTCGGTTGTTTAAGGAATCAATTCCTTCCTGATTTAGTTGTAGAAGAGTGTATGTGTTCAGGAATTTATCCATTTTTTCTAGGTTTTCTAGTTTATATGTATAGAGGTGTTCATAGTAGTTTCTGATGATTATTTGTATTTCTGTGGGGTCAGTGGTAACATCCCCCTTGTCATTTCTTATTGTATTTATTTACACCTTCTCTCTTTTCTTCTTTATTAGCCTAACTAGTGGTGTATCTCATTAATTTTTTCAAAAAAATCAGCTCCTTGATTTGTTGATCTTTTGAATGGTTTTTCATGTCTTGATATCCTTCATTTCAGCTCTGATTTCAGTTATTTCTATTCCTCTGCTAGCTTTGGGGTTTCTCTTGTTTCTCTAGTTCTTTTAGTTGTGATGTTATGTTGTTAATTTGAGATCTTTCTAACTTTGCGATGTGGGCATTTAGTGCTACAAATTTCCCTCTTAACACTACCTTAGCTGTGTTCCAGAGATTCTGGTATGTTGTATCTTTGTTTTCTTTAGTTTCAAGGAACATCTTGATTTCTGCCTTAATTTTGTTAGTTACCCAAAAGTCATTCAGGAGCAAGTTGTTTAATTTCCATGTAATTGCATGGTTTTGAGTTTAGTTTTTTAGACTTGGAGCTAGAGGTCATAATCCTCAGCAGACTAACACAGGAACAGAAAACCAAATACCATATTTTCTTACTTAGAATTGGGTGCTAAATTATGAGAACTAATGGACATCACGAAGGAAACAATAGACCCTAGGGCCTACTTGTGGGTGGAGGGTGGGAAGAGGCCAAGGATCAGAAAAAAATAGCTATTGGATACCAGGCTTAGTACCTGAGTGATGAAATAATCTTTACAACAATCCCTGAGACACGAGTTTACCTATATAACAAACCTGAAAATGTACCCCTGAACCTAAAATAAAAGTTTAAAAAGAGGCAATACCATTATAGCTCACAGAATTCACAATTGTGTAATTTCAGTGCATACTAACAATTAAGCTCTTTCTTCATGGAATCACTCAGTAACTTTGTTTAACAGCTGCTGCATACAACATTAATTTGGAAATAGTGTTATACTGATAATATAATCTTACAGAAATCTTACATAATGTTTGTAGTCTCATATTTAACACTGATTTACCCTACTTGCATTTTCTAGACTTGTCAGATGTATCTACTGCAGACTTACTAATTCTTTCCATAGATGCTGTATTATTCATTTATTATTATATGAAGACTACTACTTCTGTCTTTACATACTCCTAGGCTCTAACTAAGTAAAATTAACACAACTAACTGACATACAATACATTCACACTGTACATTTAAAAAGTAGCAATTTTACATGGATTATATTGTATTCTAAATTTTATCTAGTATATAATATTTTATGCTTATATTAGAATACACAAATTCAAGAAGCTTACAGTAGTTTTTCGATTGCCCTTTCAGAGGCAATTTATAAAAAAGTGGAAAAGAGAAAAGTAGATTATTCTTAGGCATTATTTTTGGAATTAACAGACTAGGTTTGAATAGTTTAGAAAAATAGAGAATTAAAAGTAATTTTGTCATTTAATCACAGTAAAGAATTAATATACAAAATATATCCAGATTTATGATTTTATCACATTTATCATCATGTGTAATATTGCAGTTGTGAAAACTAAAACAGCTTAGGGGAATAGTTTGTTGAAGGAGCTAAGAATTCAGAAGCAAATCTGGCATTGAGAAATCTCTGTAGCTCTCAGTGCATTATTTAAATTAATTCAGTGTTCTCTTTAACTGTTCAGAACTGTCTCTTTTCGTAAGATCATTCATTCATTCATCCATCTATCAACTAATTCATTTATTGAGGACTTATTATTTTCCAGGTCAAATAGGTGTATAAGACACAAAGACAAAGAAGACATATTAAAAATAGGGTAACAGAGAGGCTTTATCTACAGTACTTGGCAAAATAATAGCTTAAAGCACTCTAGATACTGGGATTTAAGAAGGTTCAAATACTATTATAACATCCAGAGCTGTATATTTTGCTATCAAATTTGGCCAGGCTCATTCTCTGTGGGAGTCTATTCTGTTTATATGCAGAATCCAGAGAAAAACTGCAGGTGCCATTTAATCACTTAGGATTTCTATGCTTTCCATTTCCATAGAACCATTCAATTTATTACAAAATAATCATCTAGTGTCTTCTGTGTCTTTCACCTGTGCATAAAGGCAATAAAAAAAGAATAATAGAATGCTAAAAGCTATGCCATAAACATGTCAAGAGCAGTAAATCGGTTAAGCACTCTATTCTTTTTGAAAGTAGCTGACCTTTAGTCACAGGCATCTGTGAGGATGCTGGATTATCATTTCAACTGAAGCATACTTTGGTTACTGTAACCAAGTGAGTAAAAGTGATTTGTCTAAATCCTGAGATACGGTGATACAGAAATATTTCTACCTTTTATTTCCCTTAGGAAATTCTGTTGGATGACATTGCTACTTTAAAATTTTTAGCATAGCTACTAATATAATGCTTCTTTTCTCTTCTAGTAGCTTTAAAATATGTATTCTCATTATGAAATTGAATACATTTTTATTACTTTTGTTCAATATATAGAAAGTAAAAAGAATCAAAAGTACTTTCCCCATATCATACTTATCACAGCAACTAATGTTAATATTCTGATGTCTTTTCTTTGTTTTTGCTGTGCATAGTTTTTGCATCAATGTGAACATTTGGTGTATATACATTTATACTGTATTCATTTTTAAATTGATTTAAACATTTTTATTATAGAAATATAACATGCTCTGTAATCTTGGCAAGATCTGTCAAGTTTTTGTTAAAGAAACCCTTTCCCTATTTTCTCCTGCCCAATGTTCCAAAACAATAATGAAAGATAAAATAGTAAAACAGAAATTATAAACTCCACATGTGCTGAAAAAACAAAGAAAATATCTTGATACTCAACTGGATCAGAAGCACAAAATAGAAAGTGGGACGTGAATAGCAGCCCAGCTGGCCACTTGGTCCAGAAGTAGGCAGAGCAGTAGGGAGACTGCATTCTTAAGGGTAATGGAGTCTAAAAGAGCTTCACTTGAGCTGGGGCCAGAAAGTCTGGTCGTCTGCTGAGAATGAGCAGCTGGGCATATACAATAAAAACAAGCAAAATAGAGGTTTGCTAAAGAACTAGAGAAACAAAGATACTTAATAATATTTATTTTTGTTAAGAAACATTTCTGGCAAAAATTTTGAGAGAAACCACTAAAAATTAGGGAAATATATCTTCCAAACCAAGAAATGAAGAGTAAAAGAATAAAGCAACATTTATTGATTAAAATGTCCCTAGTTCTTAGAAAAAGGAGTGAAGGAAAGAAGAAACATGGCAAACCAAAAATGCAAAATGGAAGATAACTAATGAAAAACAAGGAGATTATGTTGGATGCATTTTTTAAGATTCTTGCTTTTTATGAGTCAAACCTAAATCACAGTGACACAGAAAGTTTGAAAGAATTAGGTTAAAATAGGAAAGATCAAGCAAAACCAATATAAAGAAAGGCATTGCAGCACTTATCATTAGTCAAAATTTAATTGAAGGCTAAAAACATTAAAAAAAGATAAAGAGGAATGCTTTATAATGATAAAAGAATCAAAACACAGAAAACACAATACCAAGAAGATATCAAAGCCATAATTTTTTATGTATAACAATACACAACACAGCCTTGAAATATTAAAAGCCAAAACTGATAGGATTTAAAGAGAAGCAGAAATCTACATTATGTGCAAGATTTTAATGTCATGTTTCATTCAGGATATTGACAAATGAAGAAACATAATATTAAAATAGAGACTATTGAAAATAGAATAAGCTTGATTTAATAGACTTATCTAGGACTTTATGCCCATCAATAAAGGATATATATATTCTTTTCAAGCACATATAAAACTGAGAAAAATTGACCACTTATTAGGTCATTGTGGCAGTCTCAACACGTCAGAGAAATAAGCTACAATCTCAAATCATAATATAATGAAATATGAATCAATAATAAAAAATATAAATCACATCACATTTGAAAAATGTTCCCCTTCCATATTGAATGGCTTACAAATTACTAAAGAATTAAAATCTATAAACAATGCCTAACTTTATATATGCAATGCTAATCATTTCTCCCATTCTGCCTGACCCAATTGTTCCCACTCTTCAACTCACCTTTATTTTAAGCAATACTCAAAACTCAGTGTATATTCTTTAATATACAAACATAGAAAATCATGTTTCTGTCATGGTGATGATAATTGTAATTTGCCAATGCAAAGGAAACTGAAACAGTTGTTTGTTGTCTAACAGAACTTTAAAGATAATCAAGTGGGAAATAATAAGAGGTATATTCAGCAATTACGTAGTAAATTTGATAAGAAATTTGCTCTTCAACAACACTCAACAATAGTCTAGCGTACAGGGATCCCCAACTCCTAGGAGAAGGGGGAGTGTACCAAATCAAGGGAATACCTTGTGGTTCAAAAGGACCTGGATGGCAGACCTTGAGTACCAGATATTTCTGCTGGTATAAAGTTTCCTTCAGCAGGAGCACAGTTGCAGTGCTGGGTTTAGCAGGGAAAGTCTTCAACTCTAACCCAGCAGTCAGACAGCCCTGGTGCATTTGAAAGGCCTTAGAGAAGGGGATGTCTTTCCCCTGTTGTCTACCATGGCAGACACAGTTGGGGCTTCTCCTACGGGACCTCAGCATGGGTACAATAGACAGCCTTTCTGAAACATGTCCTGACTGCATCCCCACAGGAGGAGTGCTCTACAGGTTCAGGCTTGCATAAAACACAGAGTCACTTCCTCTCTACTTGGACCATCAACATTCCTACGGATGAAAAGAGTTGCCTATCTGATCTGCATAGCCAGAGCTCTAGGACAGGAACGTGTCTGAGAGGAGGATAAGTTTTCTGCTGATCTGACAGAGGAGCTGAGGTGACTGCAACCCTTCTCCCTGATAAGATCTTAGTGCAAATCATTGTGAATTCCTCCAGCCACCTCTGTCAAGGCTGAGACCTCTGCCCACCATTGGGTGTTGCATTTACCCACTTAGTTTAGCCAGAACCAGTTCCTATCCAGGGACACCTTCCCTACTGGCCTGAAGTCTGAACTATCAAACCAACAAATAAAATACTGGGGAAAAATAAATAAATTTAAAAAAAGCACATGCCATGGGGGAATGAGATAAGCTTTAAAAGACCTCTACTATTCCAACCCCATAGGGAACAGTGAACTTGTTCACACACTGAGCACATGCTTAATACAACCAGCACATGAGAGAGCCATCATACAAAGACTCTCTATAACCAAGGAAATCTCATAGTCTTTGCCCCTGAAAGCACCAAGAACTAAATTAGGCTATAATTAGACATTAAAGTCATATCCGTTAGGGGAAAAAAGAAATATAAAAACAAAAAACACAGTCAAATACAACATAAATTCAAGAATAATTAGAAGGAATAGTCTACCCAAATGAAAAAGTATTAGAAAGGTAACTGGTAATCTGACAAAACAGGATTCTATAACATCTCTAAAAGATCACACTAGCTCTCCAACAATGGGTCCAAACCAAGATGAAATCTTTGAAATGCCAGATAAGGAATTCAGAAGGTTGAGTATTAGAGAAGGATGAAAACCATCATAAAGAAATTAAAGCAGTTAAGGTTATGAATGAAACATTTTCCAAAGAGTTAGAAATCATCAAGAAAAAACAATCTGACCTTCTGGAAATGAAAGATACACTTAGGGAATTTAAAAATGCAGTGGAAAG